CAAAGTACTGCTTGACAGAAAAGTCAGATTTCCATAGAGTTCCATCTAAGCTCAAACACCGAACTAACTGCTACATGTTATAAAATGTAATTAATAAAGTAATACTTCTTATATTGACTATTATTTCCAAACTGACAGGAAATGGCATTTATCTAGAATCAATCATGAAATTAATTTGAGGAAAGCAGGTGACATGGCATAAGCATTGCATTCCCTCTCTTTACCTTCATTGTGCTGTTCAGGGTGCCAGCCAGTCGTCCATCCCAATGACAAGGTTACATCTGGGAAAAACGAGGTGACAGTATCAAGGAATCCCTTTGCATCCACAACGGGGCTGATCCCATTGGGTCCCGGGAGGATGTCTGCATTGAGCCAAACGGGTCTCTCCAAACACGGTTTCACAAGCTGGAGCAGCTCCAAGGAGGGCAGTACGGCGTCAAGGCTGTACCAGCAGCACATGGACAAGGTGAGACCCCTCTACCCACAGTGAGGACAGGAAGCACTCAGAACACGTCAGTGGACACAGTGGGGATGGGCTGATGGTTGGACTAGATGATCTCAGTGGTCTTTTCCAGCTTAATGATTCCATGATTCTGTCATTCTAAGGTGACCTATAACCTCTTACGAACTTTTCTGTGTTCCAGTTAGGCCAGAAAAAACCCAGGCGTTATACAGAGGAACAGTCCTTGAAAGTAGCCCTGCAGAGAAACACCTGGGGAGCCTGGGGAGCCAGCAGTGTGCTCCTGCAGCTTGGAAGGCAAATGGTATAGCGAATGGTACCTTGGGCTCCATCAGAAGAGGGGTGGCCAGCAGGGACAGGGATGTGATTGTCCCACTCTACTCTGCTCCTGTGAGGCCCCATCTGAAGCACTGTGTCCAGGTATGGAGCCCCCAGTACAAGAAAGACAGGGAGCTGTTGGAGAAGGTCCAGAGGAGAGCCACAAAGATGATCAGGGCACTGGAGCACCTCCTCTACAAAAACAGGCTGAGGGAGCTGGGCTTGTTCAGCCTGGAGAAAAGAAGGCTGTGGGGTGACCTCATTGCAGCCTTTCAGTACCTAAAGGGAGCCTACAGACAGGAGAGGGATCAACTCTTTGAAAGGGTCGATAACTGCAGGACAAGGGGAAATGGCTTTAAGTTGAGGGAGGGGAGATTTAGGCCGGGTGTCAGGGGGAAATTCTTTACAGAGAGAGTGGTGAGGTGCTGGAACAGGCTGCCCAGAGAGGCTGTGGATGCCCCGTCCCTGGAGGTGTTCAAGGCCAGGTTGGATGGGGCCCTGGGCAGCCTGGTCTGGTATTAAATGGGGAGGTTGGTGGCCCTGCCTGTGGCAGGGGGGATTGGAGGTCCCTTCCAACCCAAACCATTCTATGATGATTCTATGAACCTTGTCTATCCTAACAAAACTTCCAAAACTACTGTGATGTGGTAGGAAAGGAAATATAGAATAATTGGGAAACCGATCAGATGTCAAGAAAATCCATAATTATTTTCTCACAGCGAATTAATGAATGTTCCACATAACATTCGGGAACTTAAAATCACTGTAATTAAAGGTGCATCCTAACAGGACAGACCTGTATTCTCCCACAGTCCTCCGCACCACTCCATAAGACTCATTCTGCATCAGGCCATTCCTAGCCCTGGCCCAGGACAAGGTCAGAAGAACCGTGTCAGAATGTGCAGACAGCACTTGAAAGAGCAGCCAGCTGTGACCCAACCTGCCCACACTTACTGTCAGCAGCGCTTTTCTACATTTTAGCTTTAGTGTTATTGAGAGAACTGCATATCGGTAGGGTTCCACCCACCACTTTCAGTCAGCAAGAACTGGCTCATTTGGGTCATAGGTTTTTTTTGGTTTTTTTTGTTATTATTTTAATTTTTTTTTTTTCCCAAGAGAAAAGCCAGTAATGACTTAATTTAACACCATTGGTTTCTAACCAATTTCTAACATGCTCTGAAGCCAGAACATTTCATTTGTTCCCAGAACTAGCAGACAGGTGACTGTCGGAGTCACTCAAATGCCTTCATTTCTTCACTGAAGTACACGATAATGTAAAGAGCACAAAAACAAAGAAGCATCTCTTGAAAATAGAACAAAGAAACCCAGACAGGACTCTTCTTTTGCAAAGCACTGAGAAAATTCAAACATGCTGTTGACTCCACTTTCAAGGCTTTTTTGAAATGACTGTGGCACTTTTTGAAGTGTGACTCCGAAGCCCTTTTGCAGAATGCATTAATTCTAGCAGGAAATGTGATTATGTGATCAATCACGCTCACAGGGTAGGAATACGGAAAATATTTCTTCTTAAGCACTGTTAAAGTAATCTTCAAAACTTCAGCAACAGTAACCAAAGAATAAGTATCCAAAAGAAGATCAGATTCTGTGTCACTCACACAAATATAGCTGCACTGGGGACTTGTAATTTTGAAATGCTTTTATATAACCAGACTTTCATTGTGCAATATAATTTTAAAAGCTTTTTAAGATCAGCACTTGTCTGGAAATTCCTCGTGGAAAAAAATAAGAGGCATCTGAAGGAATCATTAAAACTAATTTCTCCTCTTTTCTCTCTGAGCAAAGATATGGAGAACCTATGGAGAATCAGTAAGAGGATATAGCATGCCCATCTTCACAGAATCACAGAATCACAGAATGGCAAGGGCTGGAAGGGACCTCAAGGGTCATGAATCTCCAACCCCTCTGCCACAGACAGGGCCAATAACCATCCCATTTAATACCAGACCAGGCTGCCCAGGGCCCCATCCAACCTGGCCTTGAACACCTCCAGGGACGGGGCATCCACAGCCTCTCTGGGCAGCCTGTTCCAGTACCTCACCACTCTCTGGGTAAAGAATTTCCCCCTGGCATCCAACCTAAATCCTCCCTCCCTCAACTTGAAACCATTTCCCCTTGTCCTGCAGTTATCAACCCTTTCAAAGAGTTGATTCCCCTCCTATTTGTAGGCTCCCTTTAGGTACTGAAAGGCTGCAGTGAGGTCACCCCGCAGCCTTCTTTGCTCCAGGCTGAACAAGCCCAGCTCCCTCAGCCTGTCTTTGTAGAGGAGGTGCTCCAGCCCCCTGATCATCTTTGTGGCTCTCCTCTGGACCTTCTCCAACAGCTCCCTGTCTTTCTTGTACTGGGGGCTCCATACCTGGATGCTGTACTTCAGATGGGGCCTCACAGGAGCAGAGTAGAGGGGACAATCACCTCCCTGGCCCTGCTGGCCACCCCTTGTCCTTCTGTTCCCGTGAACTTTAACATGAAAACAGTGATTACATCACACAGAACAACTGGTGCAAATTACATTTTATAGCCACCCAGCAATTACTGCATTTCTATAGCATACCTATGCAGTGACAAAGCTCTTTTTGATGTACAGCTGCATTCTCTACATGTGGTACAATCTGACACATACTCAGAGAAAGCTAAAACCAGGAATGGCAAAGATTGTCTAAAAATCACAGGTCATATCAAATCCCATTTCAAACATGTCAAAGCAATCTCATGGGGTTTTCAGTCCTCCTTCCTGGCTCAAGCAGAAAACTGAAAGAAGCTTTCCAGATAAGCACTTTTATTTCAGTTTTCCCAGCAGCAAAACTTCGCTTAGTTGCAACTCAGTAATGAATTCACTGAATATGAAATAATTATTTGTGGTTCAAAACGTGTAAAGTTTTTATTCTTTTAATGTACTCAGTAAAACTAAGATTCACTAAGTTTACTGTCCAGTAAGGAATGCATAAGCTCTGAATTGCACAGTAAGAAAAAGGTTAGTTTAAACGATCATCAGAAGACAGTTAGCAATACTTATAAAACTGTTAATTGCTAAGAATGTAAAGTATATGCAAATGTTTCGTCTCAAAATACCTCTTAAAATCCAGCTTAATGCCCTTATCTGTGCTGACCATCTCCTCCAGCCACTCCTGCAGCGTGATGTCGCTGTCTGTTTCAGGGGGGTGAGCCATAATTGGGTCTCCATCTCCTCCCCTGCCACCGCGGAGGAGGACATCCCCTTCTACCATGTGAACTGTGCCTGTTATTTAGAAAATGAACGCTGTAACAGAGCAGATTCAGTACTTCCAGTGTCTGCTTAACCGTAATTGCAGGGAAACTTCCTACACCAAACGGTGCTCGTTTACTCCATGAGGATCACAAAGTACAAGCTGCTGCCTATGATGCAACCAAGACACATTTTGGTGTACTTCGGTCACTGGGATCTTTAGAAATCAGTGGCCAAGGGAAAACTGAGCTCTGAATGTGTCACTTAGCCAAGCAAAGCGGCGTAAGGGACCTCAGCCGCTCCTCACACGTGCCCCCCCGCAGACCCTTCTCCACGTTCGCAGCCCTCCCTTGGGCACCCTCTGACAGCTCCGCGTCCTTCTCACATCGCCCGCCCGCACGCGGTGCTGGAGGTGAGGCCGCACAACGCAGAGCACAGTGGCACAACCCCTGCCCTCGCAGCGCTGGGCCCGATGCACCCCAGCCTGGATGGCCCTCTGGGCTCCAGGGCACGCCGCCGGCTCGCATTCACCTTGCTGCCACCAGACGCCCCAGATCCTTTTCCGCACGGCTGCACGCGTACGCGGAGCCGCCCCAGCCGAGCGCACGGCCTCCCTCCGGCCGGCACTTACTGCGGGCGGCCTCCCGGGCCCAGCGCTGGCTGTTCGCCGCGTGCCACCAGCGGATCTGCGCCCCGTCCCTGGCCGCCAGGCGCCCGGCCCTCAGGAAGTGCTCCACCGCCGCCTGGCTCCGCGCTCCTGCGGCCCCGAGCGGGACGGCCCTCAGCGCGGCGCTGCCGCGGCCCCCGGCACGGAGCAGGGCGACGGGCGCCGGCCCCGCCGCGCTGACCACGCTCTGCTCGGCCGCCATGGCCGCGGCCCGGGCCCGCCCCGAGAGGCGGGGGCCGCGGGGCAGCAGCGATGAAAGCGACCCGCAGCCCGGCCCTGCGCGGACGCCGCCGGAGGGGAAGACAAACTTGAGACGGTCGGCGAGGCCCGGCTGGCTGCTTTATTAAAATAAGAGCGAAGCTTTATTTAACTCTTAGACATCGTTAGCGCAGAATAAATGGCAGAACGGATACTCCGGTTACCCGACCGCGCGACGTACGCAGGAATGCCGCCCGCACCTCACTGCGTTCGTTAACCAGAGGAAACAGCGGAGAGTCGCGCGGTGAGATCGAGGCACGACCCGTTTGCACGCAGCTGCCCACCGTGCGGGCCGCGGCTCCCCTCTGCAGCTACAGTTTGCAGAAGAATCAGCTCTGATGTATCCCCAGTATCCTCCAGGCCTGAAATCTTCCACCGCTTCTGTGTTTTCTAAGCACAGAGCTGATGAGGTTAAGCTATAAATTGTGTCTGAGACAAAAACATAAAATATCCCCAGTGAGCATCGAGAAGACAGCAAAGTGTTAATAGCCTCATAAACCTGTACCAGCATTTTTACTGAAAACAACATCGACCTTGGACTTGGTTTCGTTGCTTTCTTTTTGGTAAAGACTTGTGACAGTTACCAATCCTTGGTTCATGGAACCTTGGTACAAATCACGTGCATCCCGAGTACATAAATAGATTTTAAGGACCCAATATAAAAAAATACATACAATTTTCTGTTCATGAAAACTCACACTTAATACATCTGTCCTCCCTGAAAATAAAGGAGGCTACTGAGAGATAAGAAAAGCCGGAGAAGGAAGCAGAAAAGATAGACAGGAATTCTGCACTTATTGCTACACATAGATTACTTCAAGGATAAGATGGCTTTTTACTAATCCTTGAAAGGTCAGATTGCGTCAGGACTTTTGAACATCCAGTAAAAGAAAAGATCAATATTTATAAAAATAGCATCTGTTTTAGTAAGATAAATCCCTATAAATTCAAGAATCAGTTTTTCTACAAGAAGTAATTCAGAAGCATACGGTCCTGAAGAACCAGCATGGTATCTTAAGTCAGGACTTAATTTACAATGCTGTTGTAAACTTAATTGCAATTTTTCTTTTAAAACAGATTTGATGAGGGAAGGGGATGTACTGCTGAGAGACAGAGAAGAACCAGGGAACACTGTCACTTGAGGAAGGAGGAGGGGAAAACCTCAGATGTGCCCTAAAGGAATTTGCGAGGGCTCCTCCAATAAGGTAACAAGGCCAGTTGTCCTGCAGAGATGGAATGAGAAAAGCCAAGGCACAGGTGGAACGAAACCTGCCAAGATGTGAAAAATATCAAGAAGAGATTCTACGGTACATTGGTTGGAAGAGACATGCAAAGGAGAGCATACCCCGTCTGACAGCTTAGAAGGGAGAACTAAATACAACAGACATGGAGAAGGCTGACTCGTTCATTACTGTCAATCAGGCTTTCCACGCCTGTTACATTCCTGAACATAACAGGTTGAGGCTAGGTGAGCAAAACCCCTTCCACTTTAAGGGCAGAGCAAGAAGACCTGGGGAATGACAGGTCAGTGAGCCTGGGTCTGCACCTGGGAAGATCATGGAGCAGATCCTCCTAGAACATGTGTTAAGGCACACGCAAAACAAGCAGGTGATCCGAGGCAGCCAGCACAGCTTCATCAAGGGCAGATTCTGCCGGCCAGCCTGGTGGCCTTCTGTGATGACAGCATCTGTGGACAAAGGAAGGGCAACTGATGCCATCTACCCAGGTTTCTGCAAGGCCTTTGACATGGCCCCACCACATTCTTATCTCTAAATTGGAGAGATGTGGGTTTTGAAGGGTGGAATATATGATGGCCAGAAAGATGTGTGGTCAATGGATCTATATCCAAGTAGAGGCAGGTAATGAGCAGGGTCCCCTCAGAGGTCTGTCTTGGGACCAGTGCTCCTTGGCATCTTTATCAATAAGATTGACAGTTGCATCAAGTGCACCCTCAGCAAGCTGAGTAGTGCAGCTGATACAACAGAAGGAAGGGATACCATCCTTATGGACCTGGACAGGCTTAAGAAGTGGGCCCACACGAATCTAATGAGGTTTGGAAGAAACAAGCTCCCTTACTGCTTCTTAATAAGAGAAGTGCTCTAGCCCTCTCATCATCTTTGTGGCCCTTCTCTGTACCCAGCTCCAACAGCTCTGCATCTTTTTGTGTTGGGGACCAAGCCTGGATGCAGTACTCCAGAGGAGGCTCTGCAGCCATCTCATGGTATCCTTCCGCTACTTACAGGGAGCTTAACTTTACATAGTCAAACAGTGCTGGGACAAGGTGGAAGGGCTTTAAACTAAAAGAGGGGAGATTTAGGTTAGATGTTTAGGAAGATGTTCTTTATTTACAGGGTGCTAAAGCCCTGGCCCAGCTGCCCAGAGAAGCTGTGGATGTCCCATCCCTGGAGATGCTCAATACCAGGTTTGATGAGGCCCTGGGCAGCCTCATCTCATGGCAGGGGAATTAGAACTAGGTGATATTTAAGGTCCCTTTCACTTTAAGCCATTCTATGATTTCTCAAAACAAGTGTCAGGAGGTGTCCACCTATATTTATACTGGCGCAAGTACAAGTGGCAAAGTATGCAGTCAGCAACCTAAGACTTCAAGTTTGCACCTCAAATAGCAAAAAAGTTCTTCGCATATGGAAAGGACATGCTTCAGATTGAGATTAGATCTGACTGCAGCAATTTCTTTAATACTTATCTGATGTTAAGAGGCAAGATAGCATGGCTGGAAGTTACACTAAACAATGTAAGTGCTACAGTAGTGTACAGAGGTAAGCAACTGCCTTCTTCTGCAGCTGTATTAAGTGTAAAGTTTCAGAACGTTAGAGAACATTACAAACTACACTTGTTTCTGTGGTAAAGTAACAAATGAAAGTTAGATTCCTGTTTTAAATTTAGTTTCAAAATCCATTAAAATCAAAACAGTTTTAGAAAATTTGATCTTTAGTGTTTGACGCACTGAGCTTTGGTGTTCAGAGCTAGCGAACCAGTATCTTGCCAGAAATTGGTCTCAAAATAAATGTTCCATAAGGAAAAACATTAATTCCATTTTCAGCGGTAAGCTTGCAGGATCCGACATCCCACCATGGATCACAGGAATCAGAGCTTTGTCCAGTTCATTCAGGTACTTCTGTGGAAAAAGCTGACCCCCAGATCCTGCCAAGTACTCAACCTAAAACAGAAACACATTAACATTTCTTCTATTAACAAGACAGACAAATGTATAGTATCTTAATAAATCAGTATTTCACCTAGCATCACACAGACAGAAAATAACACATATACTAGGAACTGGGTAGGTTTCCAGGTCAATCGTGAACTATTAGAATTGTCAATGAATCTCTAGGTTTACCAGACCACACACATCCTCTGCGTCTCATACCACTTGAGATTTTTGTCAAGAATTGTCTGTATTCTATCACAGTGACTATTAATTTCAAAGTATATTATTGAAAAATAATTTAAAGTAGTATTACAGCTTCTCTTAAAGATAAGGAAGTTTTACAGTTCACTTCCTTCAGACAAGAGTATTCCAGCTCCAGAATTCTGCAGTCTTTTTAGGAGCATTGCATACTAGATGGAGCTAAGCAACCCTGTAGAAATGCTGGAGCAAATGTCTTACCAATGTCAGGAGCTAAAGCAGCAGAAAACTACATCAAGAAAAGCATCAGAAAATTAGCTGTATGATTCCTTTTACTAATTCACCCTATGGCACATGAGTGCCAAAGAGTTAGAACCAGACAAAAACTGGTAACTTACTGCAAACAGCTGCTACAGGCATGGGGCAGAAGGGAAAACAGAAGTTATTCTTTTGTGAACTATTAGTCATTAAGACAGCCCCTATATGAAATTTCATCCTTAGTCTGGATCTGGGTAGGACAAAAACTAGGAACATTCAGAAAGATCCAAAGGTCTTTACAGGAAAGGCTTCAGAATTGAAGTATATACAATACAAGCTGAAAGATTACCATATCTGAGTCAACTGAAACTCTCAGGCCTATCTTATTCATCCCATTCTTCTTCAGGGTTTTAAGGTGTGGACAAAGAGCAGAACAGCAGGCAGCAGCGATGTCTTTAGCAAACTGGAGATGAACAGGACTGGGTAGTTCATGGTCCTTTTGGAAATAATACACCTGAAATTACAGAAATAAGGATATTCAGCAATCTGTCATATAAAAAGTTAAAAAAAAAAAAAAAAAAAGTAATTCAGTATTCAGTTAACACAACAGTGAGCTACCAATGCTTGTTTGCTGGCATAATGTTCCTAGAGTTTCATTTGTTCAATCAAAATACTTGAGTAACTATGAGAATATCTAGATTTCATACTCACAGAGTTAACAGTGCTAACAGACTTACACCATTTACTATTTTTCAGAGGAAAATAATGTAAAGTATATGAACTTATCACAGAATCACAGAACAGTTCGCAGTTCGGTATGGCTATGCGTAGTTTTGTTTCTTTAATAGTAACATTCAGTACTCTTGTTTTAGCACTTAAGTACTGTAAGTAGTAGCAGTAAAAAAAGTTCAAGCACAACATAATTTACTAACTTCGGTACACTTCACAACTTTTCCTTTTCTCTCAAAGTCTCTGGTGTGTGCTATTTTTTCACTCTGAGTTCCTTCCATTGATTTTCCATCCACTTGGCTTAAAATTCTATGGAAGAGAATAGTATTGTCAACAATTGCAATAACATTTTGTTTCATAAATGTTTTCCCATTCTGAAGCATAATGTCTAATTATCTTCAAAAGCTATTTAACAGCTCTGTAACAAAATAATACAGGATTTGCATCATAATAATATAGAAGCTACAAAAAACAGTATCCTAGACAGGGAACAAACAACACTTACTCAATAAAAACCTTACCTTTATAGGTCTGTGAAACTGAAGCCGCCTCTGTTAAAATTAAAGCCTCTGTTTGTTCTAATCAATCAAAAAAGCCACAAAAAAACCCCCAAAAAGCATGCCAAGACAACCCCGCCATGTGAGGAAGAGATGGCTTAACAAAAGGCAAGTTTTGAGTTAATGATGTGTAATTAAAGTTTGAAGTTATTCATATAACTGTTCAAATCACAGGGAATAAGGAGATATATATATTTTAAATTAAATGCTGCCATTGCAAGCAGTGAGTGGCCATGAGCAGTACAGTGCACTTCCAAGCCCTCGACCCCAGAAACTTGCAGGAACTAACTGCATCCTTAAAACGGTTAGTGATTTGACTGATAGAGACTTCCAAAGGAACATCAGGTTTTCACAAACTCGTCCTGTCAGCTTCCCGAACAGAGAAAAATGGTATTGATTTTGGCAAATACTACAAACAAAACTGTTCTGCTAGTGACATCTAGAGGAGAGCAGGCAGCTTACTGTCCTTACAGGTCTTAGTGGCAAATTACCTGAATAAAGATGTTTTAGATTAATTTCTTGAAATAAAAAGCAGATATTTGAAAGTTAGGAACATGAGAGTTACATGCTTTGCTAATATATTTACCCTTTGTTTGCTTTTTTTTCATCTTCCACCCAGCAAATATCTACATATTCTTTTAGACCTTCTCCATCCACTTTTCCACAAGTTATTTTGAAGTCTTTCTTGTCTCTTAATGCTTGACGTAGGCTTTCCATTGTCTCTGGTGTTATCTGGACCATTAATCCATCTACAAGAAAATCAATTAAAATCCCCACTTGTCTACAGGAAGAGCAGCAACACTTTATAGTCGTCCTGGCTTAAATATTAGTGGGATCAACCCTCTCCTGCAGCAAGTCCTAACTTGGACTCCATAGTAAACTACAGCATTAAATGCTCCATGACAAGAGTCAGGAGTAGTGAAAGCCTTTCTAGTCAGTAGAGCTAAGACTAGTAGAGCAATCTTAGACAAATGTTAAGTTTCTGGATATATGTGTTAATGTATGTATTTCATCAATACAGCAATGAACATACTTCTAGATACTGGAAGCTATAAAGGAAATGTTTGCACTGACTAATATGAAGAGATAAAACTTATAATGTAATAAAAGCAACAGATAAACTAGCATGCACCTTTATAAAGCACAGTTTGTTTGTTACAGGTTTTCTACAATTTACAAAGTCCTGAAAGAGTTTTGCTTAGAGTAGAACAAAGATCCTGCACAAAGCTAATTTTTATTTTTGAAACCACCTGTAGAACAGACACTCAGTACAATTCTTACCTTCAACTATGCTGGATTTAGCTAGAAATTCCGAAGATGTCTTTAAGGCTCCATTGAATACCACAAAACTTGCACCTGTAACTAGAAAAGGTAGGAAAAAAGAGTGACACTAATCACTCAAGTTTGACATTACCATCAAGTCAAATGACTTACATTACCTTTTTAAAATCAAAAATATATTTTAAATGTTTTTAATTAAAAAAAAAAAACCAACAAAAAACAGGGCAGAAGAGGTATTACTATGCTTCAAGTGATGATATGAATAACTTAGTCACAAGTTGGTACAAAAAATACTAGACTGTAGCAAAAAAAAAAAAGAAAACAAACAACCACCTTTCTCATTTTATGAGTGCATACAGTGTGTAAGACACTGAAAGATGGGCACAATGAAAGAGCCCAATATGCAAAAAGGAGACAGTTAAGAGAACTGAGAGAGGAGAACAGGCAGCTACAAGAGAAAACAGAGTGGTGTTTCAATTTTTTTTAAACATAAAACATAATGCCACACAACTTTAAATTAAATTTATTTACAAAGGATATTCCTGAAGCTTACAGTATTAGTAGTGAAACTAAACTGAACTAAACTGAAAGGTCATATGGAACTTTAAGCAACCTTGACTAGAGGGAGACATCCCTGCCCATGGCAAGGAGGTTGGAACTAGAAGATCTTTCAAGATCCCTTCCATCCCAAACGATTCCACACTCCTATGACTTTTGCTCTAGAAATTGTTCCCCATAAGCACACCAGACAGCTTACCTTTTCGAGGGTGTTCATTAGTGCTGTTTGCTTGCGTATGATAGTGACCTTGTTTATTCTGCACACACACAAAGTGAGAATCTGCTTCAGTATTAAAACTGGCTCCAATGCTAATTACATGGTCATTAGAGGAATTTATCACCTTCATCACCTGCCAATGTAAGATTTGTTATTAAACAGACAGATCTCATTCTGTAGTGCTCTTTAAATATAAGACATTAGAAAAATCTAGCACAATTATTCACTTAATTACAAGAAGTTTCAAGCTGACTAGCTGGAGTCAAATTAAACACGATTGAAAATACTACTTGGAGAGGGAAAAGTCTAAAAACTGCTGGTCAACACAGAATATCAGAGCTGGAGGGATTTTATTGGTCATGAGACTAAGTATGATTTTATTGGTCATGAGACATGAGATTAGTATATAATTATATTACTACTCTTATATTACTCAGTTTTTTCGTTAAAGCTCTATTAAACAGATTGCAATAAAAACTATACTGGCTTTTTTTAAAAATAGTGTTTTAAGTAAAACATAATCCGTAGGAAATACATAGGAGATACTCCTTGGAAATGCATGCTAGAACACTTCACTGAAATTGTTCATCTTCCACAGTTAACAGTTATCCTAAAAATGACTTATTTCCACACATCATCCACTCTAAGAGCACACTGGAGAGCTCCATCAGGTGAAGAAATCACTTGCAGAACTGCATGGACACTGACCAGAGAATAAAAGCACTACTGCCTCTAGGAACTACTACTCCTCCTCTGCCTTCTCCCCCTCCCCATTAATAAAAGAAGTCATGTTAAAGATGTGATTGGTATTACATCAAAAAAACATAAAAGCAGTTTGGAATAGTTTAACTTACTTGATTATATTTCCTTAGGGGTATTTTAATACAGCTCCTACCCATTTCCACGTGAACAAACAGGTTGTCTATTGTATGCAAAGTATATTGATAGTTTCTAAGGTCCTGCAATAGACAAAGATAATATGCTAAGACAAAGATGTGAGCAGACAGTTCATTTCCATACATTTTATAATAAATCTTAAAGACTAAGTACTTTGCATCTATCTCCAGGCTTTTAAGTCCTTAGAAGTACCTAAAAACTTCTGTTCCACTCCTCTGCTGTGATTCACTGGAAAAGTACCTTAATGGATATATTAAAAAATCTGTAGCATTCATGAAGTGGCTGTACTATTTAACAGTGGCTTACTTCAACTACAGCTACTTTATGCACATTGTGATCTTGTAATGTTTGAGGTAATGTGAAATACTTGAACAGAAAGAATGGACAAGCCCATTTGGTTTGCTGAGAGAGAGAATTTAGAGAACAGGAGATGGAGGAGAGACTTCATAGCTGTCTATCACTCAATGGAGGAGAGTGGAGAGCGAGGTGTTGATTTCCTCTTTGGTGACCAGTGATAAGTCCAGAATGGATATTAGGAAAAGTTACTCACTGACAGGGGGGCTAGGCCCTGGAATGGGTTTTCAAGGCAGTGGTTACAGCTCCAAGACAGCTGTTGTTCAGGAATCACGTGAACAATGCCTTAATTCTTAACTTCATGTGGAGCCAGGAGTTAAGACTTGACAATGCTTATCAGTCCTTTCCGGCTCAGGATATTTTATTCTATGATTCTGCAATCTCTTGAGTACTTGAAGTACTGCTTGAGTCTCACACTGTTCATTATACCTCCCTCTGACAGAGGTTACCATCCATCAGCCAGTTCTGCGAATTTCCACATTCTGTTCTGTTCTGGAAGAATGATGATAGATGAAAAATGGTCTCATTTGCCTTTCCTAGGGAACGCCAGGAAGTTTTGTATCAGCAATTGAACCAGGAAATCAGTGTTCTTCCCCAGTCAGCTCAGCTATAGCAAGAGCTATTTATGAACAGGTCTCACTGCACTGCAAGTTTCAGTTCAAATGACATTATTTGATGGTATAAAGGGTATTATCACAGATGTGCATGCCTTCACCACTTACCAGCACCTCAGTCACTTCTGTGGTGCTAGATTTTATCATCTTTAACTGAGTTTGAGCCATGTGTAGTTTAACATATTCTTAACCTCTTGTTAAGCTACATAATGAGAACTTTTTGCAGCCTTTCTACAACAACTAGAAACTCTTGCTACATCAGAAGAAGTAATCTTGCCAAAGAGCATATATTCCCACTGCTTGTTTTGAGCCTGAAGGTGGACCTTGGGCTAAAAAAGGAATGGATATAACATATCAGAGACTAAGGCAAATCCATTTCAATACATTCTTAGCAGCAGCAAGAAGTGCACGCTGATGCATTTAACTACCCATTGGGTGCCTGTCTGTCTTTTGAGGCTGTTCTTCTAGATCTTATTTACTTGTAGTTTAGGCACTTCCTGAATAATACAGAGGTTTAAGCTGATTAAGGAAATCTCCCTCATTTGGTGGTCCCTTCCACCCTCAAGTCCTTCTTCTGACCTCATATTGGTACTGTCCCAACAACAGCGAGGCAGGGAGCAGGCTCACAGAATTGAGATTTAAGATTCCTCCATCAAGAAAAAAAAAAAGCTGGCTAATTGCTAGCTTTCCTGTAGTGCAGCTCCGATTCATATCAATTCTCTATGCAGTGACATAAATATCAACAACAGGAAAAACAGAAGAGTGCCAAAGATTGCTGTTTCCTCTAAGCTGTAATGGTTTTCCAGATTTGAGAGGATTCAGTGATCACGTAAGTATGTGCAATTTTTTTCTCCGCAACATTTCCAACACTTTTGCTTACAGCATTAAGGATAAATTCTATGCAAGTATTTGAAGGGAAAGGTTACTGGACAGGAATAGAAGTTTACTAGTTTGTTTTTTCAAATTTAATGAAATACCATTTTAAGACTAGAATTCTTGCACCAAAGCAGTATTTGAAAGAGAAAACTGCAACTGAATGGCAACTGCTACCAGCTTCAGTGTAAATTCCAAAGTTGTTCTCATTATTTAAAACTATTTCTTACAACCAGAAACTGTGCTATAATGAGTATGATGCATAAGACTGCACTAGGTTTATAAGACAAGGCTTTGACAGCAGGGGAGTTGCTAAGAGAACATAACCCAGCAGCTGCACCATGTCTGATCAGATCCAGCTCCAGTCAGCTCCCAAAGGGACCCACTGTAGGCCAGATCTGAGCCCTAAGCGATACTGGAAGAAGCCAGTAGAAGAGCATGGTTAAGAAATGACCAGGAATGCAGCCCATGGTGGAGCCCATGACTGAACAGACGTATGTGGCCTGGAAAAAGTCACGAAGAGCCCTCACAGGTAGCAGGCCCTGGTCCACAGCTGCAGCTGAAGGAGAGTAGCCCATAGTGCAGAAGGGCTAGCAAATCTGCTGCCTGTGGGGACTGTGCTGGAGCAGCTCCTGAAGCATGAGCCTCATAGTAGGGAGCTGAATTGGAACAGTGCTTCAGGGAGCTGCAGCCTGTAGGCAGCCCACACAGGATCAGTTTGAGAAGGACAGCATCCTGTGGGAGGGACATACATAGAGCAGGGGCAGAGAGTAACCATGAAAGAGCATCAGAGATGAAGCATTATGGACTGACTGAAGCTCACATTCCCTGTTCACCTGCGTGCCTTGGAAGAAGGTAAAATAGGGTAGATGGGGAGGTTTGCTCTTAGCAAGTTGCCCTTAGTAAGAAATCACCCTGTTAGTGATAGTAAATAAATTTTGCTAGTAATAGGAACATTAACATAATTTATTATGCTGAATTTAATTTGACAATAACCAGTGATTGAATTCCCTGTTCTTATCTCAACACTTGATCCCTCTTTCATTGCATTTTCTCCTTATTTGCAGAGAAAAAGAATGGCTGTGGGGTATAGCTGCCATCAGGGTAAAGTCACCACACTTCCTTAGCTCACACTTAATACATATTAAAGTAGGGAATTTCCAAGTCACCTCCAAAGAAAAAGTTAATTCTTTAACTTTGCCAAAAGTAATTCAGCTTTAAACAATCTGAGGATATTTTACACAATCTGGATTACAACAGGAAGTGAAATGAATAAAATAATTACTCACAACAAGTAGATTCATAATTGTATGTCCTATTTCTCCGAAGAGCGGCTTTCGATGTCTGAAGCTTACTAGAGGAGTTGGATATACTGGAATAGAAGAAATAAAGTCACACTTTTAAGTTTTATAGTTGTAAGTATTTATTTTCAGTTATAGACCAAGTTTCTTAATTTCAATATCTGAACATTCAAGGGAACTAGAACCACTGTGATCCTTACTCACTGACAACCCCTTAGTCCACTGCATGATTTCCCCACCCACAGTTAAATCCTACTGCAATATCTCTACTACTCTAGAGTCACTCCCCAAGCAGCAGAAATCTTGTGGCAGAGACCTGCTGCTTCTTTCTCTGTGATTGACCAGCTATGTTTCTTGCAAAGGGTGAGCTGAAAGGAAACAACCTTCGTTCAGTCTCTGTGTCACCAGTTGTGAGAGGAGCTGCAAGGTTGAATACTTTCTTAAACAGAAGTACTATACAAGTAACATCCAATTTCATATTAATGTTGTAGAATGAACTGAAGTACCACTTAGCATTAATAAACAAGAATGAAGTGAATGAAGTGGTTCATACAAAGTAATAAGCTTCTAATTGCTTTGCAGTCCCGTGGCTGTAGTAGAAAACATGCAGCTGGAAATTAGGGAAAGCAAAGAGATCAGGAGACCAACACATCAACACACGAAGTCATTTGAAAGTAAAACAAACAGTGCAGCAAAATCAAGATAATGAGATCAGTCCAAGAAAGTGCATGGCTAGTACAAAAATGACAATAAAACTGGTAAGAGAAAAGTATGATAAAGAAGCTACCACCCTTGTCAACTCCCAGGCAGAAGCCTGGAGAGCAGAACTCCACTATTCACTCAAACCCACAAACAATTTAATGATGCATTTTTATAGACCTGATGCTTCTAAAATGGTACTCTTAATTTACCAAAAGTCCATTCAATGTCGGAACATTGAGTATGATATTTTTGAAATTCATCCCACTTAAGTAACATCTGCATGTTGCATCCTTTTTTTTTTTTTTTTTTTTTTTTTTTTTTTTTCAAAATTGACAATTAGGCTGGTGAACTTTCCCTCAAAACTTTCTCCAGTGACAATAGAAGTCAAACTTTTAATTTTTTTTAAGTGTCAGACTTGGTTTTTAAGTCTAGCCACCTCCAGCTAACATGAGAAAGAACCAAGTAAGTGTAGCAGAACAGTGTAAATTTCCAGGTGTCTCAACAGGACCAACAGTTCTCACATACAAAACTTCATCCTTATGCAAGAGTAATGTACAAGACTGCAAACATTTTGAATATTTTCTTTGACTACTAAAGTTAAATTTTTCAAAGGAAGTTTTACATTAATACAGCTATTTGAAGTACTATAACTTACCCCCATATTCTGCTCCCAGTCTCAACATTAAACGGATTGGAAAAACTTTTGCCCAGGGTATTTCCATCTTATGGATTAGAATACCACAAAGAAAAGGGTTATCTGGTAGCATTAAATCATCAAGTTTCTGATAAGTAGGTGAAACAAACAGGAATCCTCCATGGTCTTCATTACTGAGAAAATTTTCACTAAAAGTCACATTTTCCATGTTTCTTATTAACTTTCCTGTTGAAAGATGGTGAGAAAGAGTGTTGGCGCATCTTAAAAAGATAACATGCTATTATGAAGAAAACTACTACCATCATCCCTTCATTACAGACTTGCAAATCATAAAGTATGTCTCATATCTTCCTGAAAATCTGGGAGACATCTAACCCCACAGAAATATCCTACACACTTATTACCTGGATGGACATGAAAATGGAAGTAGACTTTTTTTTCCCCCCAAATATAAAAAACTCTAAAGTACACAATGTTCTGGCACACCTCAGTTGATGAACTTCAATTAACAGACCTCACATATACATATTTATGTATACTGCAGTTATGCATACCGCATACACAATGAAGTCCCAGCCATTGACACAGGGATTTATGCACAGAATCTCCAAGTCCATATGTATTAAGAACAATTACAGAAAATGCAAACTAGATATTTACAGAAGTATTTGAGCCAGAGAAATGCACATTTTCTTTCTGTTGTCTATTTAGAAACAAAGACTAAGCACTGACAAGTTTTTCAACCAGATCAGATATACCTATAAATGCATAAAAAGTGCATAAACTTCTAACTTTGAAGGCAAGCAAGAAAACATCACACCATAATATCAGACATGATTACATACCTTCTACTGCATTCTTATAGATGTCAATAAATAATTTGAATATTTCATTAGGAAAAGTCTTCTCATCAGGCAAACACTGCAACAGAACTACAATTTCTGCCTGCCCCAAACCATGTAGCCCGTTTGTTGAGAAGTACCAGCATTTTTCTGAAGAATCTTCAATTAAAAAGACAGAGACCACAGTAATGCTGATCTTTACAATCAGAAAAATAGATTCAATGGAAAAGAAAACACACACTACTTACAAGATATTAACTTGACATTCACAAGCAAGTTTGCATTTAGGATAAAAGTTAATGGACTGGCACCTCCTTTCTCAAGAAGCAAGGCGACCTGTTGGTGTGACAGATTTTCTTCCACTAGGGGATCTAAAGAAATTAATATCTGATTTAGTTCAACATGCCAGCCAACTACTAAAATTAAAAAAAAAAATCAGATGACAGTATATGAAAGACTGTCCTTACTTTCCTATCTTAAAAGGCTGTTAATTATTTTCAAACTTAGAACAAGTTCAGTAGCTTACCAGAAGATTCAAAGGCCATACAAAAATAAAGCAGTAATTTATAACAAGGCATGATCTGGGGCTGCTGTTTATTTGGTAGTTACTCATATTATCTGTGTTGTTTCTTCAATTCACATATTGCTGTTAGTTACAGTGAAAACAATCACTACTAGAATGGGTTTATGTGATTGTTATTTTCACAATATACTCACATTTCAGTAACTCATGTTTAACTAACGAACAATCTAACATGCAGCACAGGTGAGAAGTTAAAGTTGCATTTCTGTATTAAAATTCACATTTAGAAATCCTGCATCTGGTGACGCAGTACTGACAATTGTTTACCTTTTCCTTTTTCACCCATGGCAAGCAGAAGCGGTGGCAGCTTATCACCATCTGGAAGAAGGCTGACATCTTTCCGAACACAGTTTTCAACACCACAAAGTGCTCTGTAACTTGTAGGACTAACAGGCATATCACTTTTAGCCCAATCTGCTATATTAGTTCTAGTCTTCTCAGATTCCGTGGTGGAAGAACACTCTTTAGTGTCTGGAGTCACAGATTTATCACTATCAATCATCTTGCTCTGGCTGGAAATGGTCTGTTGTGCATCCTCCGGAACAACAGAAGGACATAATCCCTCTGTTCTTGTGATAACATCCATTTCTTCTTCTGGTTTTGAATTTACATCAGTTGGTATGTCATCTTCCTCTGCATTTGCACCCTACGAGAATAAAGAAGATCTATACTCTAGTTTCACAACAAACTATAACTTCTATAACTTCCATGATAGCATTCTAAAAGAAAGAAAAGGGACTAGGAAATCTACCAAACTGACAGGACATAAATTATTTATTCAAGAAGTAACTCACCAAATCCACTGTGGACCTTGCATTTCCCCCTGTTCTTAAAGGTCACATTACACCCCATTTAAAGTGAAGATGAATCACTTTTTTATTTGTTCGGTAATACAAAATTCTCAGAAAATGCTGTAGATCTATCATTTTAGCATATAGCCAGATTTAACAAAATCAACGATAAAGTAGGTATCCCTTGAGCAACCCAATTAGTATTATTGTTTCTTCACTTGGATACAATAGCCAAGTCTAGTATTGTACAATTCAACTCATTTTTGGTTTGCTGTCAAACCTGCGCTGCTCCCTCAGTGAAATGCATAGAATAAACCAAGAGTGCAGTCATATTATGAAATGATCTGTCATCAAAACAAAGGTGGATGCGATCTATTAAATATATTGAGTCATCACACTATAAATCCCTGTAGATTTGCACACTATTTCAACAGGAAAGACTGAATTGTAACAAGATAAAAACGTAACAACACTATGCTTGTCCTGTATTAATTCTCCTGACATGCCCTCAGCTTCCTCAGATCTCCTGCTTAGAGAACACGTGCCAGAAGATGAAGGAAAAAGAAGTGTGACTAAAAGAGCCTCTAATAAACTTCTTTCCCACAAATTCACTTGCTGGCTTTGCAGATCACTTTATACTTTTGGCCTTCATAGCAGTCTGAGGCAGCATGCTTGGGATTACATGCTACATGCTACCTAGTAAAAGATATCCACAGCTTAGGAGCTGCAACATAGCAGTTTTGTCTGAGCTCCTAAAGCTGTATATGAGAACCATCAACTCACTATTTCTTTGTTCATGATGCTTTTAATATTAGACACTGTTTATCTTCTCTAAGTGAAAATAATCTACTCTTTCATCAAAACAGAAGACAGGTTTTATCTTTGGGTTACTATGATGGGTAGAGCAAGAACTTCTAGGTTTTGGAAACAAGAGGGATACATTTATTGTCACGACAGTTTTCCACTTGTGTTTCTGTTCCCTCCAATTTATTTCCTATTTTAAACAACTACTTAAGTACTTTCTTCAGACCGATCATTGACCTTAAGTCTTCCTTTTCCAGTAACTCAGACAGCAATAAAAGTAACATTAATAAGTTCTGCTACTCATACACTCCTAACTCTGCAATTCGTGGCAAATGACACCTGTCATTTTAACATTCAGTTCATGAATATTCAGAATCTATCTGCCTTCACTGTCTGAAAAATGTTACCATTTTTATTATCTGTGAGTATGATATATAGCACAGTCCAGGACAGGCAACTTCTGTATTCAGTTCTTCACCTCTTTGTCCCTTAAGTAAGCTATTTGACTTATATTTATCATACCTTCATAACAGTAGTTATACAAATACTTTACAGAATAATCTTGATTTTTAATATTTTCTACTACGTCATTTTTGAAGTTCATGTATGTCCTAATCAACAGGGAACAAAGTTATTTCAGCAGAATTCATGCATCTACATACAATTTTAATCATACCATATGCAGCTCTGGCACATCAGGGCGTACTGTGTCCTGAGACGACCTCTTTGCTCCAGATGAAAGCTTTGTTGTATATGCCACTTCGCCAGTTGGCAAAATACCATCTGCAAACCAAACTCTCTTCTGTTCTTTGGGGCATAACTCTAGGATAGATTGAGAAAAAACACTGAATTTGTATTACTTTACTGTTCTAATAACTAAAAGAGATGCATACTCAGAGGTCTTTCTCCTATCAGTTACATAGAGAATTTGTTAACTGAAACTAAGCACAGGTAGACAGCTTGACTCCAGCCACAATCCTATCAGGTAAATACATGGAAAAAACAGTTCATCATAGCAGAGGAAGCTGTCATGCTATATCCTATCACTCTACATATCAAAACTTCTTCGTCAACCATCCCCTTGTCATAAGATATAAATAAAATGCTTACCACAACTAGAAGATGAAACACTAAAAAAAAAAAATCTAGTCAATGTTTGAAAAACTATTTTCATTGATGAAGGTCAGGTATTTAGTAATAGTGAAACAAACACTGTTCAATGGCTAAACATTCATGTTTACTGAGGATGAACCCCTACTGCTTCTTACTTTTTCCATAAAAAAGTACTTTTGTTTACTGTAAAAAGGCATGACAGATGTCTCCGGAGCAATATAAAAAATTATGAAATTATCTGAACTGAACAAAGAAATTACAGTATAAACATAGAAGAAGGACAATCTCCACTTATGAAATGTGGATGCAAGACAGATGTTGTCAAACTCATGGAGTCTGAACTCAGAACTAAGAGCAAGTTTCTTGAGTCCTAATTGACAGAATTTCTGTTCAATACTGTATAATCAACGGATATCAAGATGTTACAATCACAAAATAAACAAGAGAGTTAGGCAAAGTGGACTATGATAACAAGAGAGAATAAATGGAAGGTTTACCCTTATGCTGGGTTCACCACAAAACACCAGAAGGAGGGATCTCCAGATGAGACCCTTCCCCACTGGCAGCCAGCTCTTCAATAGGTCTAGGAGGGGTGAAGCCAGGCTCCACCCCTTCCGGCAGCACAGCTGAATTGCCTTCAGCTGTGCTCCTCTGGCTGGCTCATGGCTCGCCTCAGGTGATCAATCAGAGGTTCAGGCCGTGACTCAGCAGTTCCCATACTAATACTATATCCACATAGTACATACCCACAATATAATAAGCAACTCTTCCCAAGCAGATCTTGAAAAAAATGTTAGTTAAATTATACTGTGTTAAACATACCTTCATTATCAGATTGTTTAAGTGCTGAAATGGGTAATGGTGAAGAAAATAAGGGGCAGCTGGCACTACCAGTTATACAGGCTTCCTGCAAAGGTGGAGCAGAAGAATTCTCAGAGGAGACACTGGAATTAGGGGCAGGACCTGTTGGACTCATCATCCTTTCAAATGCTTGTGCTAAATTAAAAAATGAAAAATTGTTTGCTTTAAATGTTTAAACATTAAAGAAAAGCAATAATTTTAGCATGCAGTGCAATACTGAGGGTTTTGGGTTTCTTGTTTTTTGGTTTTTTTTGCAATAACAGTGCATAGTTTAGTGAGCTAGTTGTGTAAACTGAACGCTCAAGCTATTTTATTGATTTTCAATCTGCCATTCAACATGTAGAAGGCTACTGTGGAAGGGTAGAAGATGGGGCAAAAATCTGTTTTTGTGGAATCCTGCCACAGATGACCCAATTGAAGCATGGAAGCTTCCCAGAAGGCATGAAAATTAAGATACTAGCTGTACATATTATTTTTTTAAGGATTACTACAGTTATTCAAAAAGATCCAAATCTTTTTTACCTTTATTAATATCATCATAGCAGCGAGTACAGACTCTTGCTTCCTTTTCCATGTACTGTAATTTGCACTTTCGTTTGCAACAACCACCGCAAAAAACCTGAACAAGAAAAAGATTGAAATAAATATTATAAGCAAAGTCCCAATATTTCCTGAGTTAGGTTTCTATTATATTATTTCATCTAATTAAAATAATAAAGCATACATAAAATATTCTCAGCAATACTGAAGAAGAAGAGGAGCTTTAGTACATTTATCTTACAGTATGTTTCTGTGTTGACACAAGGGGAATTACCAGAACTAAAAGGGTTTTATCAAGGCCAAAAGCTCCACAGTTTGGCCTGAAGCTTTTTGAGTTCTTAACCCTGTTTCCCAGAACAGCACACAATCTATCCATGCTACAAATTTTTGAAAAAGGCTACATCCTATCACTTTTCTGAAACACTCAGGAACACTATGCTGTAGCACAGCTCTATAGCATTACCTAGGGTAACCCTCTGGGTACCATGTGTCATCATCATTCTACTCTCAACCAAACATAAAATTGACACTTGTTTGGGGAATCCTTATGATCTGCAGAACTTCCTAAATAATAGGGAAGCCTACCAAGCCATGTTAACACTTGTGACCCTAAGGCAATGCACCAGCTGAAAATCTCTGAAGAACTAAACCAAACTAAACGCCAAAGAGTTGAACCCATTTTTTAAGTTGTTTTTGTTAGTTTTAAAGCACAAGGAAGTTTACTGTCACCTTCATGACTGAAGAATTTCAAGTTCAGCATCTGCTGAAATTCTGCACAAAACCTAAAAATGCTACTTTGCGTATTTCCATTAAGACTGCCTCCAAGGAAGGCTGTTGAAAATGCAGTAATATTTTATTTCTTTTCTTCTTTTCTTTTCTGGATTCTTCAATTTACAATTAAGGTAAAACAATATTCCAAGTTATTCTTCGTCTTGTTTAACAAGCCCAAGTATCTTTTCTTAAAAGACAGTATTATTTTGTGTTTTCGAAAGTATTGTATTAAATCCTCAATAGTCCAGAAGGTGTTTATCTTACCAAAAACGAACATTTCAGTTTGAAATGTTAACAAAGGATAGACTGTACTAGCTGTTTGTGTCCTTTAAGTAGGAAAAGCCATGCTAAGATTCACATTTGATCAGTGCAAGACAATAAAATAAACATTCCAGTTGCTTCCATATTAATCTCATAACAATTAATGCTTGCATATTAATTATTTATCTCACCTGAAAACGCACATGCTTAGTAAAGTTATTAAGCTTGTAACTGGAAAGGATCAATTGCTAATCAGCTGCTGTCAAAATTTAGGGCTTCAAATGCTGAGCAGTACAACAATCCTTTGCCAAGTGCCATTCTCTTACACTTGGTGCCACTAGAACCCTCAACAAAGGCATTACCTCAATCTCAATGCACAAGAAACAAGAGGTGGAAGCAAACTAAGGGACAGATAGCGCAACAGAGCAATGGCTATGAAAATGAATATACTGAGCAACAAAATTAAATCTAGTTGGGCTGCAAAGAGAATGTGTGCCACATTAAAAAGCAGACAAATAAATGGAGATGAGAATTTGACCTTGTGTATTGCAGATGGGAGAAGAAGCAGTATTATTGATAGCTTATGCATTCCTCCAACACAGAAGCCAGAATTCCCAAGTTCTGACACTTTCCCTGATAATAATAAATCTATAGGACTACATAAAAATTAAACAATTCTAAGACACTTCACAGAGAACAACTGTGAATTTCTACCTGTTCCTCCTCAAGCTGGTAGCAAACACTGCAACACAATGTGGATCCATGAAAAAGTAGACTTTGTTTTTAAAAACAAATAGCAAAACAATATTGCACATTCAGAAAAGCAATGACAGTTACAGCTGCTTAGCACTCCATTATCTCTGACAATTACACCATCTGTACTGCCTTCACTCATTTTCTGAATGCACAAGCATTGTGAAGCACCCTGAATTACTTTGCTATTATGCAAATACACTCTGCTACACCCTGTTAACACACAGGATTAACAGTAACAGCAGTTAGCTATAAGCAGCAGTGCGTACTGGAGGGAGTTTCTATTCCCATCTCCAGAAAACAGGCAATAAGCTTCATAGTGAATATAAACAAGAACTTCAAGAAGTTCAAAACCATACTCTAAAGAACCATATTTTAAACTGTTATAAAATTTTAGTAGGGTATATAACTGCCTAAGTTCGATAACATCTAGCATGTCACAATAAGAACTTCATTTTTCTCAGTGCCCCACTGCAGATCTACACTTTCTATAGGTCTGCTGTGACAGAAGAAAGTGGGGGCTATGCTTTCAATACACAGTACTTGAAGAGGGACTCCACAGAAAAAACAAGCCACTCCAGTTGTCTTTTGAAATGAGATGAAAGAAGCTAGTAAGTCTAGTCTTTGCACCATCTCCTCATCCATAAAGCTGCAGAGGAACACTGAAAAAAAAATCAGTTCCAATAGCATTATATTTGTATTTATGCACTAGCACACAAGATGCAATAGCTCACGAAGAAATTTATTTTTGATTAAAAACAGACTTCAGCATTATTTACTCACTGCACACAAACATAGGCTGGAAAAATAGAAAAGTCTACAGACTACTTGCTCAGTTAGCCAGTACCATTCACTCAGCGGAAATAGCATACTTCCCTCTGCTCTCCCTGACAACTCCCTTGGAAAACTGTGCAGACATTTAAACACAGTGCACAACAGACTGTAAGTCCGTTGCATGGCTGCTTCTGTGACAGCTCCTGAAAGAACATACATTCTTCCAGAGTAATAGATATTTTTTACACTTATCATAATCACTTTTCTGAATTCTAATTACCATCACTGCCTAAATTTTTGATGCCTAAATACTTAAGCTTAATCTAAAATAAGTAATAAACTGATTCAGTGTGCACTGCAGTGATTGTTACAGTGTCACATCTTCCCTGTTACAAGAAAAGAACAGTATCCTAACCAGTAATGGAAGATAAAGTAAAGCTATGCAAGGAAAATGTTCTTATTTTCAAAAAAGAAGTTTTTTTTTTTACTTATTGTAGTCTTTTCTAAGAGTCCAACTCTGATGTAAAATTAAGAAAAAATTAAAACAAAAAAACCTTACAATGTTGACATAATTCATCTTTCTCCTTTGCATTCCGGTTATCCCTAAATCAGAGTAAATTTGCTTACAGTAACAGAAGGACCCCTCACCAACAACTTACTTTTCCACACGCACGACAGTGGTGTCGTCTTTTTGTAAAGGTGAACTTCACTTGACAGTTCATGCAGTTGGGTGCCTCTGAATCAGGAACCCACAACGGCTGTTTCTGCAGAAGAGCTGCAGGTGTTTTTAGTGATTCTACGCTTTGAAAAGTTTTTCTTGCTTCAGTGCCAATCTCCCCCGCAGGTTCAGAATTTTCATCAGAAGTAATGCTGTTCCTTGAGAAGGGAGCTTCTGGAGTAATTGCTTTCTCAAGCACATGTGTTTGATTCAGTTGTTTCTGAACATTTCCTTGCGTACTGTCACACAACAGCTTTGGTCTTGCACTTTCATTAGGAATCTTTGAAACCTGTGCCTCACTATCACGCTCAGACACATTTTGAATATGAAATGCACTCTCCTCTGGTGGAGGTTTCAACTTATGGGCTGCAAGACAGACTTCAAGATTGCTACTGATGCTAGTTATATCCTCCAGTTTTGTCAGAGCATGTTCTTCAGTAACCTGTGTGAAATCCAGGTTCTCATCCCCCAGATTCCCTTCTGTGTCAGCTGCCATTAAGTTATTACTATTGCTTAAAGAATTCAATGAACTGGACAGATGACTTTGCCCATACAAGAATTCATCAAGCTCTGCATCACTTACAAGACTATTACTTTCAATAATACCCTCCTCAACAGTAAAGTTAGCTACAGTTTGGCTCACACTTTCATCATAGTAACAGTCTATATCAATGCCATATGGCTCAGCTTCATATTCCATAAAAGTAGAAGCAATAGCTTTGACTTGATCAGAATCACTATCATCAATTACATTCTCAGTATTACATGTCTCTCCATCACTTTTTTCTACAATAATTTGGTTGATTTTAGTTAGATATCCTTCCTGTTCATGTAAGTCAGTCTCTTTGCAGGACTCACAATCAGAGAGATCAGTTGTTAAAGTGTCACTAATAACCTCTGCTATTTCATCCTGAGGTACAGAATTAACTTTTTCTTCTGTTACAACTGAGGAACCACATGGAGATACAGGAAGTGGTGGAAGATGTAGCAGTGACGTCTGGACATCCTCGACTGATTCACATAAAGGTAAAGCACTGTTTAGTACTTCACTGCCAGCAACTTTTTCACTACCCACATTCTCTTCCGTAATTTGCTCTTCTAGTTCTACTTCAGCCCCTGTTTGACACATAGAGCCTTGTAAAGCATGACTTTCAGGCAATGTTCCATGGCTTTTGTCCAACTGATGTGTATGTGGCAGATTTGAAGGCATGGATTCCATTTTACACTGATCTTCCAAGGTCACACATTCTGCAGTATTTCCTCCATGTATCTCTTCACTCACTGGAGAGCACATGCTTCCATCTTGTGGCTCAGAAGGCAATTTTTCACAAGCTGTCTCATCTCTGGGATCATACACATTTGAATTCTGTAATGTTTCAGAGACACACACAGTATTAGGGTGAGCGGTTTGTTCAAGATGATCAAATACTTCAATATAGGATTGTATATTTAAACTGAAGTGATAATCACACAGACCTGAAACCTCTGCTTTACCAAAAACATCTGATTTTAAAGCTAACTGATTACTCTCTTCTGTTTTAACAGGTCCTGAAAGTTGTAGCATTGAGTCCCCATCATTCTGCTCTGTACATGAAACACCTCTGCAACCCAATGAAAATACACAATCAAGGAGAAGTATGCAAGATTTGCCAAAGCCACTCAAAGTCTTCACTAGAATAAGAGTCACCTGACTGCAATTTTTGATTATTTACATTAGTACCTGCTGAACGGATCAAGTTACTTATGTCATTAATAAGATCACACATAGGTATACTACTTCCCAGGTTTGAACCCTGACTTCCTTCTGACGAAGCACCGTTCACAATGGTCAAAATATCAGGCCCAGGAACACTCCTCTCATTTTGTGATGAACAATTCGGGATCCCTTCATTTGGTCTGGTGTGGCTGGCTTGAGAGATTTCTTCTGACGCGGGACAGCTGTTAGCATTCTCCAGTGGTTTTTGCGTTGGGTATACATGTTGCAAGAAACCCAAATCCAGAGGAAGGGAACGGTGTTTTGAATCATATGGATTTTGAGGAGCTCTGGAGAGGTCGCATTCATCTATTTTAAGCAAAAAAGAGATCAAAAGCAAAGTTTACAAGACTTAAGTGCTTCTACTGTGCATGTCCTCCAAATTTAATCTATTCACTACCATAAGCTTTAACTTACCATTTATTAGTTTCAAATTCCCCGTAACAGTCACTCAACCAATATTAACACACTGCAGTAGAAGGCAGCACAGTTACTAACCTGTATTCAGTTCAAATTCATCCAGCAGTTTGTCCAAGTCACAGACTGCAGCTTTGAAGTATGTATCCATTCTATTTAAGTTCTAGTCTGGCTTCAGGCCTCTCAAACCTAAAAAGAAAAATGCAATGATTCACTCATATTTTGCTACTCACAAAGTGTTTCCATTATTAGACAATAACTTTCAGGAAGTATTTTAATGAAACTTTCTGTCTATAAAATAAAATATTATGCAGATGACTGCAGTCCATCAGCCTCTATGTACCTCATGCTCAATGACTTGCCTTTAAATCCTTTTAATTTTTCCTTCAAGACCAGGAAAAAAAAACAAAAAAACAGCATGGTAATTTAGTTCATCTCCACCCTACTCAGAACACAAAACCCATTAACCTTCTATGAGACCTGCAAAAAAGCATTTAGAAAGAAAGAAGTTTCATTTTAGATACCTGGCAACTCACCAGAAAGCAATTTGCAATGCATGGTCTGTATCATAAAACAGTGTTCCATTTGCTTAATGAAGACTTTCAGTCTCCAGATGTTATGCCTTCTTGATCACTTTGAGAAGCTTCCTAATCCTACATCTTTTTCATGTCTGAATACAGGTAACACGCAGTTAACTGTCATATAATCAAGATGCTATCTACCTTACCGGAAAGTAATGCAAAGGGACTCAGATCTCTTTAGTTCTTGTGTCTGGAAACCAGACCTCTGAAGGTCTGCCTTGTTTTCCTGCTACTCAGGGAGATGCTAAAACAGCTCATGCTAAAATAGCTTATATATTGTTAAAGGAAAAACTGCAGATCTCACCCTTACAGCACGTGCTTATGGACTCTAACAAAACTGATGGTCAAAAGTTACTAAAAGAGATTATATAAAGTACAAATACTGAAGTTTATGAGAAAACAGAGGTTTAAGAAATACATAACATAAATACATAACGCTGTGGGGATTTCTTGCACATCCTTAACATTCAGGTGCAACTTCTTTTCATCCATGACTAAAAGAAGCAGTCACAGAACATTCTCCCCTCTTCCATCTCCCCAAAACTACTACAGCAATAGGGAAACAAGCAGTAATTCCTTCTTATCCATCCCTCATCTTTCTGTTCTCAATCTTGTATACGTATTATCATCATTAAACTAAAATCCTGCTCATTTGATATAACGTTTCAGGAATCAGATCACCTTATATTTTAGGCTCAGCAATAGTTGCCTGCAGCCAATCCCAGCATTAACATTAAAACAGGAGTGAATTGGAAGCCATGAAGAAGTTCTGGTCATACAGTTTTGCTAAATGTCTATTTGCTTCCTTGAGCAAAAACAAGCTGTTGAAGCTGTTTGTTTCATCAAATTGCACTCACTCTGAAAGTAACGTAAGAGTTTCAAGAATTCTACCATCTGAAACTAGCAGCAGTGTCACTGTATTTTTAAAAATACATAGCAATTTCTGTAAAAACCCCATACCTAAAAGAAAACAAGCAACTAAGATAGAAGTTTTATATGGGCAGGGAAAGCGCATGAGCACACAGGAAGGAGACTACTGGGTGTGGAAGCAGTGACTGCAGTTGTTTACACACAAAGATCTTCACACTGCAACTTTTAGAGGAACTGTTCCACAACTTGCCCTTTTAACATTCCTTACATCATATGAGTTTTGATTTGTCCAGTTACACTGAGCAGGAAGCAACAACAACTTTTTTTTTCCTTAGTTTTCATTGAGATGAGGCCTTTGTATAAACATAACAACTGAATGCCAGCACACCAGAAGAAAAAGCAGATAAGGAGCAAAGCATCCCCACCAGGCAGAAAAACAGGGAAGCCTGATCTGTGCACCTGAGACACCTTCAGGACTTGAATGAATCCCTTACTTGCTGCTGCCACCTTCCAAGGGTTGAAAGGCATGAACCTTCTGCTAGAGGCTGTTTTCCAAACACACTTTCTAGTTATCTGAATCCTGTCCCAGTACTGTCTCCCAGTGGATTATAGATTATTAAAATATGGTCTCTGAGATCTTAAATCCTTCACAGTAAGGCACACAACTTGAGATTCCTATTGGCTCAATTTCATATGATTCTTTCAAAGTAGAAAGCCTTAAGTTTTAAGCAGTGGTTAAATCACTGTCTGCCAAAGATTGTATGCTTCCATCCTAAGATAAATATTTATATGCTAGGGGACTGGGAGATTGTGTACCGGTCCCTTTCAAAAACAGAAGAAAATAACCAAAGCATAAAACAACTACAGCACAGTGTTAACAGCTACTTTCTAACACAGTAGAAGTCAGTTTAAAGGGGAAGACCTCAGAAAACTTTTTTTTTCAGAAAGACATTTCAGACTGGGGAAGGTAGTTACTGCTAAACTGGGTGACTCAGTTTACACACCAGCTCTGGAGACTGACTTTCACAGATGGAAGTACTAAACTGAGCTAAAAAGGCCTGTTATTTCTTTTAGACATTTTACTCTCTGCCTTATGACTAAGCTACAAGGCCTGATAGCAAATGAAGCACTGAGGTGCTTACTTCTTTAGACAGAAATACACAAAAGATGGTTTTCAAATATTAAAGGACAGAAATAAGACACAATCTAAATATTTTGAATTATTACAAGTCATTAGCTCTCATCTCACAGTTTGGTCTTATTTATGTCTCACTTAATGGATATTTAATTTCATTAAAGAACAGAGCACAGTTAACAACCTTTATTTTGCTGATAGAACATCACCAAGCTTCAATATTTTTCATTACTTTATTACAACAAGGCACATCGGACTACTTTTTCACTTCCCTAGGTAAGCACTTGGTTTGTTTTTAAACAAGTTCACTCCACGTCTCCCATTCTCATGTTAAGCTTACAGTTTTGACATTCTCGGCCAACCCCATAAGGGCTTTTATAGTTGCAAACAGGTGATGTCTGCCTGCCAGCACCCCCCGTGCTTTCACTGAACAGTTTCAACAGTTTCTCGCTCCTAAAGGAACTTTCCCTTACAGCCTAACCTTATGGGCTCCCCATCCCCAGAGGGACATTCAACATAGTTTTGGTTGAGAGTCGAGTACAACAGTCAGACATGCTTAGTATGTCGTTCTTAGAGATTATCATGCTAAGGGGTTTTAACTTAATATTTATTTCACAGATTAATGAAGCAAAAGTTCTTACTCTAGGTGCTGTGACTTTCAAGAGTCCATGCTGAAACGTTAACTGCTCACTCCCACAGCTGTTAGCCAAAACAGGACCGTGGCTGTCACAAAACTGCCTCCTTCATCTTGCTTTCATACCAACCTTGCAGATATCCATCCCCAAGCTTTACAAGAGATAAGCTAATGCTTGCATTTCTAAACACCTAATGAGCAAACCCCACATTCACGTTTACAGTACAAATGCTCTTTCCTATCTTACCCATGCTGATTAAGAAGAAATCTAACAATGAAACTGTTATGTAGTAGTCATCAATCACAGTGAACTCTGTATTCCAAACGCCAGCAGAACAGCAGTAGTCCCAGGATGGACTCTGAACAGTTAAGTGTTTAGCACAAGTACATCAGCACCTGGTCTGACACCCTTCTTTGCGTACTAAGGCTGGGCACAAAGCAAGCCTAAACAGAACAAATGGGATTGGTGAAAGCTTGCTTACTTTATTTTCCCCATCAGATGAGGCTTGGTTACTAGCTAACTCCTAACACTGCACTTTATACTGGACCCTACCTTAAGAAACAGAGGCAATAATTTTACTGGAAAAGTTACCTACATAAAGCAAATGTTGTGATTTAGACGACCATGTAACATGCCTGAGTGTGTCCATAGACTTAAAAAAAAAAACAACAAAAAACAACAAAAACACTTTATAAGCAACTTTATATAAACTTCGTAAACAATTTCTAAAGGATACATATACTAAGATTCAAAAAATACTTTGTTAGGGACCTCTCAATGCAGTCTTATTAAAATAAGAAGACATTACAAATTTGCTAGGATAGAGAACAGCCAAGCATCAAACTATATTGTAGACTGCCATTTTTTTAAATCAAACACAGTATTTCTAAATGCAGGTAATTTGTAGTTTTCAGTAAGAACTTGCAAAATGGTCAAATTCATCATGGTTTGCTAAGCAATTGCATGTCTAACAACAAGCAGATTTCTGATGTTTAAAAATCCCTGAAAAACAACCTCTAGTGCTTGATATATATATCCATTACCAGATATCAATCTAGTCACAACCAAACATCATCAAAGAATCCAGGCCTGTATTTGTAGGGAGCATGTTGGAACAAAGATTGGATATGGAAGCAAAGAAACACAAGTGAATGTACAGTTCCTCAAGTCTAAAAACTAGCATAATATTAGGACAGTTATTGTGGTCATCTGTAGAGACTTTTGTATCATCACAATGATACATTATTTCAATTCACTACCTTTACAGGAATTAGAAAACTGTAGGCCCTTGCAGACAGAAACAATACCACCACCAACCAACCAATAAAAGCCATACAACCAACCAATAAAAGCCATACAACCAACCAATAAAAGCCATAGAAAGACCACCAAAGCCTGGGTGTACAGATACCCATGGAGTTCACCAGCAATCAACAAAGAGCGAAAAATGAGAAATAATTAAGTGCTGTCAGACAAAAATAATAATAAAAAGATATAATATTCTTGCTGAGCAATGCTATACATTATTGAACCATAAAAGCACAGCAGCTGCTGCCACTGCAAACCTACTTGCTGAATAAGGGGATGAATATGAAATTTACGAAAGTTTTCAGACACCTAACAAAAACTTACATTGCATGATGCAAAACACTAAACTGCCTCACCTAAAGATGGATGTTGCTGAAACACAATTTCAACAATACAAAAGGTCACCAGCGTTGTGATTTTATCACCAACCTGATCAGACTACTTATGTTGACAACGTACTCAGCCTCACTAGAATTTCCTTCCACTTTAACGGCACATACTATCACTCTTCTGACCAGAAAAAAGCACCAATCACACCACAAATAGATGTCAGACAGCAATTAATGACTATCAGCACCGCTCCAGAACATCACCAGTACCAACAAAAACAGGCCCAATGGCTGAAGAACCCATTCCAAAAAAATCACAGAACTGCTTGAGTTGACAGGAACCTTTAAAGGTCTAGTCCAACCCCCTCCTTGCTCACCTGAACAGACAAACTGCACACAGTGCCACCACTACTGGAAGTATCAGCTTGTAATGCTCAGCCTTGGGAAACAAGCCACGGGAACATGACTATTTGATCAGGTCTTAAAGAACTTCTCAGACAACAGAGACCAGTGATCTCTTAACTTTCTCATCTTCTCTGATCTGCATTATTAATGATCAGACATTCGTATTGGACAAACTAAGCAGTACAGCATCAGACACTAATAGCATCTGGTTCTGGCAGCCAACTGAATCCTTTCCTGTGCACAAGTCATTTCTTCAGGGCATACCAAGAAACAGCTTTCTGCCACTGCAGTCTGTATCTGAATACAGACAGGGCTACCCATATGCTCCAGTTCATCCAGCACATCTTACTTAACTTGAGCAGTGCAAGCACGTCCATTAAACTCTGCATCCGACAGCGATGCCAACTGAAAAGAAGAAGTGAAAAGATCGTCAATGTCTGCAAATCGCTACGAGCACCGCGTCTGCCCTAAGCTGTACATTCACCACGTCGTTTTCGCTTCGTTCCAGAACGACCGTGTGCAGCACTTCCACGGCCGTTACGGAGACGAGCCCCTGAGGCACGCCGCCCCAAGGCACCCAGAGCCGCAGCGCAGCGCAAGGCCCAACTCAGACGGCCGCCTCGGGTCGGGAGGAAGCGGGGCTGCCTCACAGAGCGCAGCTCACGGCGGAAGGCCTCAGAACAGCGCCGTGCGTGAACCCCTCAGCTGTCCTCCGCCCCGGGCCGCTCCCCGGCCGGGCGACCGTCCACTGCCGCCACTGCCGCCACTGCCGCCACTGCCGCCACTGCCGCCACTGCCGCCACTGCCGCCGCCGCAGCCGCCGCAGCCGCCGCAGCCGCCGCAGCCGCCACCACCTCCTCCTCCCTCTTTACCGCCCCGGCACAGCAGCAAAGATAACCGCCCCTTCCCCGGCGCTCACCTCACGAGTAGCCCAAACCCCGCCCGGCTCCGGGACGGCGCCCCGATTCCCTGCGCGCCCTGCGGCACATGCGCAGTGGCAGCCCCCGCGAGGGCGGGAACCCGCCGACTCTGCACGTGCGCAGGACGACCGTACTCTGACGCGCGCGCAGAGCTGCCCGCGTGCCACATCGGGGCTCCTCAGCAGTCGATCGTGTGAACGGGGGAGCTTGGAGACGTGTCCACAAAATCTTTTTTTTTTTTTTTTCCTTGAAAAAATAATTTATTCCGGCTGACACTTAGATCGAGATCACCACAGTTTCGCGTGTTTTCCCACACAGATCCCTTTCCTCGTGAGGTGCAGCCTCACAGGGCCAGGAGTGTGATTTTCGAAGCTGTCTAACCGAGTTCTGGAACCCGTTTCCACTGCAGGAAAGGCTGCTTGGAGAAGCCAGGTCGCAGCATGACGCCGGTCCCAGTGCTGCTGGCCCACAGGGCTGCTCGGCTTTGCCTCCGTGCCCAGTGGGAGGCTGGCCTTGCGTCAGCTGTGCCGCCTCCTTCAGCTCCATTGCACGAGCTAGCATGTAGCTGACCTTCCTCTGGTGAGCCAGGGCCTCCTCTTTGTCATTTACCTGCGGTTGGCCACAGAAAGGGAAGAAAGAAGCCGTGAGCTGAGAGCAAGGGAGTCCATGTATCACAGAATCACAGAATCGCCAAGGTTGAAAAAGACCTTCAAGATCATCCAGTCCAACCATCCATCTATCACCAATAGTACTCATTAAAACATGTCCCTCAACACAAAATACAAAATCCAAACGTTCCATGTAAATGTAAATGGTAGGGTATCTTGCATTGGAAGGGACTCATGAGGATCACCACATCTAGCGTATGAAAAGATCAGAAAAACAATGTCAGAATGATGTCAAGGCTCCTTAGGCATGTTGGCAAACCCAGAGTTTGACAGCAACCAAAAATGACAGTAACCTATCAGTCCAGACCTGTTAACAGCAATAGGGATGTTGGCATAGGAAGATGTGTTTTCACAGGTACAGGCAAATGTGTATCCATGCAAGATTCCTTGTCTTGTTTTTACCTCGTTTTATTATTAACAAAAACTCTGTAGTTCAGTTTGTTCTCCCAGAATCTAGTTTAAGAAGTAATACTAACCAAATCTATTAACATCTTCAGGATTTCATGAGGGTTGTCTAGTTCTTCAACTTTCCTGCTGTCAGCATCTGAGGAGAGCAGGCTTGATAATTTCTGTCCCAGATTGTTCTTGTTCCCTTGTAGCTTGACAGACCCTATGAACAACAGAAGGTATGAGAATGGTGGAAATACTTCAGAGAAAAACTGGTTTTGGATAAAATGAATGTGCATCTGACTGAACTCTGAACAATTTCCTCTAGAAGGGCACTGCAGGCTACAGCTTCTACTGTACATCTTAGGGAAGGTTATTAATATGCAGCACCACTCTTGCCATCACTTAAAAGCTACCTAGACCTTTCATCAGATATAACAGCAAATTGAAAATAAAAATTATTTATTTTTGCTATTGAAAAATATATCTTGCCTCTAGCTAAATAACAATTCATGGCAATGTGTTTTTAAGCATCTGGTAGCCTGATATGTTCAGTTCGTAGGATTTATCAAATGTTTAAAATACATCAAAATGATGAAACGCTTGTATCAAAACACAGAGCTTAGAATACACAAGGCACTCAGCACTAGGCTGGACAGGGCCCTAGGCAGCACTTCCAACCCAAACTATTCTGTTGATTCTATGATTCTGTGAAACAGTGATACTGATAAACGGGAAACAGATATTGGAGATATGTCCTGTTTTAATATTATTTCCTGGAGGTGTCCAAGGAAACCAGAGGATCCACAGATCCATGCCTGACACATGCAGATCAATGGCTAGCAGAAACACATTTTGAAGTACATTCTATTTCTCACTTCTGCTATGGTTTTGACCATGACATAAGCACTTAAACAATTCTCATTATTTTTTTCTCAACCAAGAAAAGGATAGCAAAAAGTCTTTCTCTTTTCCAGAGGGATTGTAGATGACCATGCTAAGTAGTAGTAGAAAAATTATTATTAATAATAATAATAATAATAATGCCAACACAAATAATGAAAAATTGAAGTACTTTTTTTTTAAAAAAACGCAAAACAAAAAACAAAAAACACAGAAAAAAGTAGTATTCCAGTAAAAGCTCAGTACGTGTTTTTGCCTTTATCCTTCCTGATACAGGCTTCATTGAAAAATAAAAATGAAATGGTTGATAGCGTCTTAAATGGCCAAGCTAACCTTTCCAAATGCTAGGCTTTTTGTGCTGTTTTTCTAACATCTTTAATATCTGCAATGTTATTGTTAATCTGGATAACAGATTATTTATTCTAAAAAAGGGCTACACTAAAAGCAGGGTTAGTATCATCAGTGTCCTATGGCCATCATGGTCATCTTTATATAATGACTACTGTAACAAGCCTCTTATACATGTACATTCTACATAAGAAACTTCTGGTAGGAGTTTGTGAACTACCAGCTGCATTTCTTATGGTACGTATGGTTTGACATAAATTTGTTCCTTTTTTCTGAACTCTTCAGAAATCTGTCAGCCATTAGACCACAAACACACATCTGATGCAATAAAAATATCTGTCCATGCCCATCAGCTGACTTTTTTTCTAGTCCACCATTACAGATACAGTTACCATCCTCTTTCAGTCGCCTCCAGTTTATAAATTTTGTTTCCTTTTTAATCTTTATCACTTCTGCAAGCCTCAGGGCTTGGTCCTTCCTGTGCATTAACTGCTGCTCAAATGCGATTCTGAAGGCATCTGCCATTATATAAGCTTCATCTTTACTCTTCATCAGAAGTTCAATCTGGTTTTAATTAAGAGAAAATTTACAGTATGTTAAGCAATTTGGAAGCAATAGCAGGTTTAAAATTTAAATTGAGACAAATTGAAGCCATTAGCACAGTTCAGCACTTTCATGTTACCAAGTCACCACAGCAGTTCCTAAGGCAGCCCTGTGCATGTCAAATGGATTGATTTCAATTAGGGAAGTAGAAACAGAACAGTGGCTTTCTTGCTACATAAAGAAATGTATTTTGAAGCATGTATTTAAATCCTTTTTTGTGCCTGCAGCTAACACCACCTATCCACTGCACTGGCTATGCTGCCAGCCAGCAAAAGAACAGTATTTCTATCAGGTATCATAACCCTGATACAGAAGAGATGTGAAAGTTCTATAGAGGTAGTTGCTGCCTTATGCCTGTCTGTGAGGTCTAAGATAATGTTTTTATTGATGAATTTTAATTGTGATCAGCCCCAAAATAGTGACAGTTGGACTCAAATCTTTGGAAGGCCCTTTCAGATGGAAGTGAACCTGTTCTATTCTATTCCACCTATTTTCAAAATCAGTATGTTAGTGGGACTTCTGCATTAGGACTGTGAGAAAGGTTACCACATTTGCAGGCTAAAACACTAACGAAAAGAAAAAAAATTTCTATCTAAAATTATATATTTACTAAATTAGAGACTTCATGAGCTTGAAAACATTTTGCTGTATTAAGTGTGATGTAAATACATCATTTTTTGCAAGGTCAGCTCAATGCTAATGCCAGCACAAAGGAGGGATGGAAAGGGATGGAAAACCGTGCCAGGAAAGAGGGGAAAAGGAGCAATTTCTTTTTCAGTGACAATTCATACTCACATTGTAAATACTGTAATATTTACAGAGTGTATGCATTTCGAGTGTGCATATTTTCATAATAAAAAATGTAAGTAGAATGAAGTAAAACAAGTAAGATTTTTTTTTTTTTACTAGCAAAACATTTTTACATCAGCAACAATTAGGACACCACAAGCAAACATTATTTCTGAGATGCATTCTTGTTATCAAACACACCAATTTGTGTAAGCCATGGGAGAGTGTTTAAGGCTTTACTTGTTTTTGTACAAATTTGTTCTCTTGCCTTCACTCCTTGCTCATACCTAAATCAAACAGCATTACCTCTTGCTTGAGATGAAGAATTTGCTTCCGAGTGACAGCTGCCGTTTTAGCACAGGGACAAGGCTGCCCCACAGAAGAATTGCAGGTGCAGGCTCCAAGAACTGCCAGCTTAAAATCCAAAACAAACCAGCAGTTATATATCTGCATATGGAATGCAATCCAAGAGATGCTAAGTGACTAGCAAAAACATCCTGAAGCTGCAGAGGGAGTTTAGGAGTTAGGAAAATTTGGCTACAAAGATTTGGACATCAGTTTTTTTCACTAACAACGACACACGTGATGTCTATTTTTCAGCACTAATTTCACATCTAATCCTAACACAGTACTTTTGTGATACTAATTATGCCAATTAACTAATCTGAATTCAGCACCACAAAGGCTTTAAGTTTTCTACTCAGCAGTTACTTACATGGAAATACTCAAGAAAATCAAGGCAGTAGAAGTAGTGTGCTTGTACAACCTAGGAAGAGCCACAACTGCATTCCAGTAATTCTGCATGTAAACATACCCCTGCAGACATTGTTCCCCTCTAACTTTTACTCTGAAGCTGAAGAAAGAAATGAAGTCTCATACTGTGATCTTGCCAGACTGAGCACTTCCAGAAACATTAGTAAATGCATCACATCATACAGCCTGCTTTTATATCACAAAGATATATGATTTGGAATATGGATTTCCAGATGACAAGGTGGGACACAAGGTCATCAGCAATTTCAAAAATCAGACTTCATACTTACTTCAAGACCTGTAATATCTGTGATGTCTCTTTTATTCATGGACATGTTCTCCTGAACAATCTTCTGTTTGTTCACATCAAGCATTACAAGAAATTCTAAGCGCTGCTGATTCAAGACTATGAAATAAATGAGGACAATAATTTAAAGTTTGTTCTTCTAATTTCTTAATTTCCGAGTTCAACTACAGCCAAAAAAAAAAAAAAAAAAAAAAAAAGAACCAAAAAACAGTTCTATAGCGTAAGTATCAGGTATGATAATATGAGACTATGTAGATTTGGAAACTCAGATCCCAGTTGCTTTTCCTTGTGTGTTTTCCTAGATGTGAT